GCAGCAGCTCTTGGAATTCTGTTCTTCCTTGGTTCTTGTTACTCGGAGAAAGGTATAATAATGGCTCTGTCTCTCTCTCAAACCAAAGCAATTGATTAAGAGTAGCTTGTATTTTGCATCCGTAGGTCAGTTATATAAATCACATCTAAGTAGATTTTAAGCTTAGTTTTAATCATATACTACATTGAATTCCAGAAATATATGATCTCCTCGGCTCAAACAGACTCATTAATTTGACTCGAATTGGTTTCCACCGGTAAATAATTCTAATTTTATTGTCAAACAACTTTATACTAAAGATGAACAATCTCATCACTTCTCTGTTAGAATTTGAACTTTTAGGGTATGATTTTATTAATATAATCATTTTAAATTTAAGGAAAGTTTGTTCAGAAATCGATAATTTTAATTTTTTTTTTGGTGACTAAATTTTATTTCAATCCCCTCTCTCTATCTCCAGCTCCATATTCCACGTTTGCAAAGGATGCAACAATGGCTCCACCAATAGTATACTACGACTACATCATCATCGGGGGAGGAACTTCCGGCTGTGCACTGGCCGCAACTCTTACAGGAGCAGCCAATGTCTTGTTGCTTGAAAGAGGTGACTTGCCCTACGGAAACCCCGACATCACCAACCTCCGTGGCTTCGTTTCCTCTCTGTCCAACACTTCCCCATCATCACCTTCTCAGCTCTTCGTCTCCACAGACGGCGTTATCAACCACCGACCCCGAGTCTTGGGCGGCGGCTCCGCCCTGAACGCCGGATTCTATACGCGGGCCAGCATCGCCTACGTGAACAGAGTTGGGTGGGATCAAAAACTGGTTAATGAGTCGTATGAGTGGGTTGAGAATAAGGTGGCGTTTGAGCCACCGATGATGCAGTGGCAATCGGCGGTGAAGGATGGTTTGGTTGAAGCTGGTGTGTTGCCGTACAATGGTTTTACGTATGATCATGTGCCTGGGACGAAATGGGGCGGTACAATTTTTGATAAAGGCGGTCACCGGCACACTGCCGCCGATTTGCTGGAGTATGCTGACCCGACAAGGATTGTTGTGTATTTGAATGCAACAGTGAACCACATCTTGTTTAAGCTGCAAGGTAAGGAATAAACTAGTCTATATATCTACATAAATTCACGGTCACGGATCATGAGAGGGTGACTCATCTATATCTGGGGATGTTTGGTAGAACTCAATACTGTCAGGGTTCAATCGGGTAACGATCAATTGAGTGTCTGGAGGGGAAGATTTTCGAACGCTATAATAACGAAAATCTTGTATATTGAATTATATTGTCAATAATAGTCTCTCTTTGTCGTAGGACAATCAAGACCAAGAGCTTATGGAGTGTTATTTAGAGACGCAAAAGGCAACAAGCACATAGCATACTTGAACAGGGGCTCCAGCAGTGAGATCATTTTATCAGCTGGTGCACTCGGAAGCCCTCAGCTGTTAATGCTGAGTGGTGTTGGCCCAAGTGAACAGCTTAAGGCCCACAACATCGGGGAGGTACTGGACCAGCCCATGGTGGGTCAGGGGATGGCTGACAATCCGATGAACGCCCTCGTCATTCCGTCATCGCGCCCAGTCGAAGTTTCTCTCATTGAAGTGGTGGGCATTACTCCGTTTGGTAGCTTCGTTGAAGCGGCAAGTGATTCAGTTGAAGCCTTTATTTCCGATGCACTGGTCAGTGCTACAAGACATCCTTAATTATTATAATCTTTGAAACACTCTCACCAACCATTTAGTATCAATTTTCTTCCTGACAATTGTTCCCACCCATACANCTTAATTATTATAATCTTTGAAACACTCTCACCAACCATTTAGTATCAATTTTCTTCCTGACAATTGTTCCCACCCATACATATTCTTTGTACTTAGAATTACGGGTGCAATCTTAAAATGCGCATAATCTACTTATAAATTATGTGAATCGGTTAAACTTAGATTTTATGTAATTAAGAGATTCAATTTTGGTTGTATGCTTATCCTTATACTATATTAACCCCTACGGGTTAAATTAGTATTCTATTTGATGTAAACGAACATTTTATTTGTCTTTTAGATATCAACAATGCTACGTCCACAAAATTTTTTACCAAATATATGTCATGTGTAGAATTATATTATATCATAAAATTAGTTTCGACTGCCGAAATGTCTTCACTTGATTGGCCTATTATTAATTCAACTCCAAAAATTTAATAGGATTAAGGTTTAAATCCCTTCAACCATGACCCAATATGTATGATTCTACAACTCTCTCTCCTTTCCTCTTGTTTCTTTTCACTATAACTAACCCACACAAACACAGAGTCACACAATTGTATAAGTTAATAAGATGATCTTAGTACCTGATATTTTTCACCTAAGGAGAATTACCCTACCCATGACTTAGAACTCACAGTTGTATTATTGCTTCAAACCATACTGTGCGAAGGGTCCTAATTGACAGTGGTAGAAATGGTTTACTTGTTGGATGTAATTCTTCATTATTGAAGTCCCTTATTTAAGCATGAATTGGAAATGACTTAATTGCAGACTGCCCCAAAAGTGTTTCTTGATCAAAGAATCCCAGAAGCCATAGCTAAAGTACTTAATGCATTCACAAACAGCACCATTTTTCCAGTTGGAATCATCCTTGAAAAGATCATGGGTCCCCTCTCTTCCGGTCACCTCGAGCTCCAAACCAACGATCCAAAAGATAACCCTAAAGTTACTTTCAACTACTTCCAAGACCCACAGGACTTGCAGAGGTGTGTTCAAGGCATGGAGACCATCATAAAGGTCATAGAATCAGAGCCACTCTCAAAGTTCCGCTATCCTCTGGTCCCAGTGCAAGATCTGATCAACTTGATGCTGATCTTGCCGGTGAATTTCAGACCTAGACACGTCGAAGCTACTTACTCATTGGAGCAGTTCTGTATAGACACTGTGATGACCATATGGCATTACCATGGAGGTTGCCAAGTTGGTAAGGTCATTGATCAAGATTACAGAGTTCTTGGTGTGGATGCATTGCGAGTTATTGATGGCTCCACATTTTACGACTCCCCTGGCGCTAATCCTCAAGCTACTGTTATGATGCTTGGAAGGTAATTGCCCTTGCCATTACTCCTACCATATTGCAGGCAACCTTGTTCACCTGTCATAATAATCAGACCAATTGCTGTTTTGTCATGCAGGTATATGGGGCAGAAAATTCTTGGTGAAAGGTTTACGGATGGAAAGAACTAGAAGATGACTAGCATATGCTACTGCATTGGAGCTTTTTCATGTACTGGACATACTTTGGTTTTAATTACACAATAATTTGGAATTCGTTGGTACATGCGGGAATAACCTTTCAAATTGCAATGGTTTTAATTACACCATCACTATGTTACATTATACTACAAATTGATGACTATAATCTCAATGCTAGTTCGAAATATGGAGCATTGAAGTATAGGTTTAGAAACCACAAGATGATATAACAGAAGCTTTAGAAATGTTGCACTAGAATATAATTCCATTAAGAAGCTCTTCAATTTTTACAAAAAGATTTACTCACCTAATAAAAATGGGCAAGAATAATGCACTTCCGGATGTTCTAGATTAGCAAAAATGTATAGCAGTGCATGAATATCCTCACTTTGAGGATGCGTTGTATCTCCAAAGATAAATTCATGAGCCTTACCATCCACCTCTATAACACTTGATCCAGGGGTCTTTCTTATACCTTTTTCTTTCATCAACCTCCTCATTGTCGAAACAGCATCCCATCTTTCATTAGTAGCATATATGTTTGACAAAAGAACATAAACACCACTATCTTCTGACTCAAGCTCATGGAGGCGATCCAGTACATCATGGGAGAGCAAATTTTCATTGGCCTTGCAAGCACTAAGAAGAGATCCCCATATGAGCACATCAGGTGGCATAGGCATTCTCCTAATGATCTCCTGAGCTTCATCTAGAAGACCAGCCCTACATAGCAAATCAACCATACATCCATAATGTTCTAACTTGGGGGAGAGATTATAATCATGACTTATCATCTGATAGAAGTACTCACGACCTTCGTCAACCAAACCAGAATGGCAACAAGCTGTTAAAATGGAAAGAAATGTCACCTCATTGGGCCTTATCCCAATTCTAACCATTTGGTCAAAATGCTCAAGTGCCTTATGGCCATGTCCATGCATAGCTAGACCGCCCAACAAGGCATTCCATGTAAAGACATTCCTACAAGACATCCCATTGAATATCTGTAATGCCAACTCTATACAACCACATTTTGCATACATGTCAACCATGGCAGTTCCAATGTGAATATCCCATTTGATTCCCTTGCGGTCTGTGTGCTCATGGACCCATCTACCATAATCAAGAGCTCCAAGGCTTGCACAAGCTGAGAGCACACTGGTAAGTATAACCTTATCTGGTTCCACACCTGACTTTTGCATAGCACTAAACAGTTCGAGAGCCTCCTCTGGAGCCTTACATTGCACCAATCCGCTTATCATACAAGTCCAGGAAACGATGTCTATTTCTGGGAGCTCGTTGAATAGTTGTTTTCCCTCACATAAACATGCACACTTGACATACATGTCCAATAGAGCATTGTTTACCACCAAACCCATTCCAAATCCATGCTTCAAAATCAACCCATGAATGATCGTTCCCAAATTCACATGCCCAAGTCGCCCACAAGCCACAAGCACACTAATAAAAGCAGCTATATTTGGCTTCACATCCATTTTAAAAAACACACGAATAGCATCGTAAAACAACCCTGCTCTCACATATCCAGATATCAAACTGGTCCATGACACCACATCTCTCACAAGCATCTCATCAAACACTCTACTTGCATCACTGCATTGACCACAGGCACTATATAAATGAAGAACCGAGTTTTGAACATAGAGATCACACCAAAAACCCATCTTTACACCCACCCCATGTATCTGTTTACCCTCTGCAAAGCCCAAAAAATTCCTACAAGACTTCAAAACTGCTGGGAAAGTATACATATCCGGCAAAACCCCGCGTCGAATTAATTGTCTATAAACCAAAACTGTTGCTTCTGGCCTATTACCTCCAGCAAAACCAGCAATGATGGTGTTAAATGGAAGTAAATTTGAGAAGGAACCGTGTTTATTCCAAAAATTACATGCATAATCTACAAATTCAACAGATTTCCCAAATAATTCGGCAACTTTGTTCACTATAAAATCGTCATGAATGACACCAGATATGATTAATTGAGCATGGATTTGCCTGAAGGACCTCAGGTTGGTGCACCTATAAATAGAGTCCAGAATGGTCCATTTTGAAGAAAGCATAGTCTGGTTCTTGTCAAGTTGCATATGCCCATTTCAAGAAGTGTCTTAAAATTTCTTCATAATCAAAATTTCTCTTGTGAATGGGTAAGAAACCAGGCTCTCTGCTCTCATACATGTTGTTGCATGCCATCTACTGTAACCTCCAAGGAAGGGTGGGGCAACTAGCAAATGATCAATGTGTTGAAGAACAGAAGTAGCTTTTACTGCTTTCTTTTGTTTACTTTGCAACAGTGTCTCCCAGTATGCAGACATGGAATGTGCTTGATAAAACGTTACATGCAACATTGACAAACGAAGTGGATCGTAAGCATATAGTTGAACCTGTCGATCGATACTAATATCAGTCTCATCCACGCCAAGTGGGATAGCCGGCGAGTATCTGCCTTCCTCTTCATCTTCACCTTGAGAATTTTATGCTAACCTAACTATGTCTGATTTTAAAGATATTTCAGGTGCGGTCAGGGCCTTCGCCCACTGTGTGCTCTTTCTTGCCTTCCGCCTTTTTTTCTCAAAAAAGAAGAAAAAAAAAATCAGTCTCATCCAATTTGGCGTTATCGAACCGCGATCAAGTGTAACAGTGGAGGCGATAGTCATTAAATTAATCATTAATTTAATTTTAATTAATTATAATTGCTTAAATAAAAATAAGTTTTATCTAATATTAAAATTTATAATTTATAATTAATTTAATAATTACAAAAACTTTTTTTTTATTTGTTCTTTATAATCTCGTACTCATAAATATTTCTTTTTTTTTTGTTCAACTATCAGGGATGTCCAAACCAACTTACGCACACCTCAATTAATTCTTTTTCTAGTTTAATCAAAGATGAATTATCCCTGCCACTAAAATATTTATAAATGATAAATTTCCCGTCACCCCACCCTAAATGATAGTTAGGAAACACTCTTATTTTAAAAAGTAGTTTAAATAATAAATACCGTCCTCGTAGAAAATTGTGGTAGGGAATTGGAGCAAATAATTGACCCGTTCCTCTGAAATACAGGTTAGACATACCGATTAATTATAGGCCCAACAATGAGGTGCCCCTCCCCAGCCTCTTCTCACTTGGGTGTAATTTGGATGGGTCAATCTGAACCCACCCAGCCCAAAGTTAAAGTGCTTGGGTTAAGACTTGGACAAAAAAATGTCTAAGTTAGAATCCCACGGCAGATTTTCTCCTTCCTCTTGTATTTAGAAAGGTGGGGGCGAAACTAGAAATTTATTTAGGGTAGACACATTTAATTAGTAAAATTTAATTTTTCTCCAATTAATAAAAGTATTGTGGTACCATCTTTTTTAAATCGTGTTGTTTATTAAATACAAAATGATCAAACGCCAATATACATAATCTATGCTAACAATATTCAATAAAAATAGGCCAATTATAACCCTTTTTCAAAAAATAAAGCTAATTACAACCGTGTATTATAGACCCTAACAACTTTTCATACTTTGAAAGGATTGTATGATAACGTTATTAATAATATTATCGAAAATGTCTTTCTCTATATAAGTAACTAAGTTAATAGTAATTAATTTCAGGTTAAGTCACATCAATTTTAAAAAATTATAACAATTTCAAACAATTATGAATAGTATAAGATTGAGAGTTATCGAAAAAATAGGCTCAATTACTAGTCGCAACTTTTTAACATATTTTCACATTTCTTTGAGTGAAAAGTGTGCTTGATTATTATTTTTGTACAAGATTTAGTTGGACCAAACTTATTGAAGTGGTTAAATATTTTTGGTTTTTGGTCACGAGGGTGTGCCTAATTTCAACTACCTAATAAAAAACCATAAATATACAAAGATAAAATTTTTATTTTTTCTTTCAGAGGGGCATGTGCCCCCTAATCCCTATGTCCCTCCGCCCTTGATAAAAGGGGTACATTGTGGAATACCAATTGGGACTACGTGAGCCCTCAAAAAAGCCAAGGTATTAATATATAGAAATCGAATATTGAACTCAATTTAATAACCTAAGTTAAACACAAACTTGTGTGGACAACACTCAATTAATGATTGTTTTGGGTTTAGGTTTGGCTTGAATTTGCCTCACGTTAAGAGTTTTATAACTTGAATTGAGTTGATCTCTCAAATCATCCAAGTTCCAACTCTCCCTAGTTATACCTATACCTCTCAACCCCTCCACCGCACTCACAAGTCACACCTCCTTCCCATAAGGATGTTTTGGGTGTTCAAAATGAGCTTCGAGGGATTGAATCTGGCCGATGGGTTGATTGTAGAGGCAAGAATATCCCTCATCCTTTCCAATTTTGAAATTTTTTGTAAATGTTGATGAAGACGAATATGATAATATTGTAAAACGATAAAGGAAAATAAGATGCTGTATAATTTAAAACCTATAAAAGATGTAGTGTATTTATTATCTTATCAGTGAAATTTACTGTTTTATTAATGTACCAACTTATCTGTACTGCCAGATTTATAATACCAGACGAGTCGATCACAAGAGAGGGTCATATATCATTGTTCTTATTACTTTGCTTCATTTTCTTGGCATCCAAAGAAAGTACTGAACTTCCTCCATGAGAAAAAGGTACAGACTTGAAGTACAGATTTCATGTACTCCACCTCCTACCACCTACTCTCCCCCCCATTTTCCCTCCGGTAAGTCTATCACCTACTCTTCGCTTAATTACATCAACCTGATAGAAATGGATCAACGGTCAGGATATGTATCATTTTCTATGGCCCACAACTACAAAGCTCAGTGGTTGGATCCGTTAATTTTGAACGGTTAGGAATGTTCAGACCAATTTACATAAACTTCGATTAATTTTCTTTTCGATCCGGTCACAAATAAGTCATTTACACTGAGATTAGAGTATTCATGAGTTTCTCTTTAAGTTTAATAGTTGACTCTTAATGACCAACCTTAACTTTTGTGAGTTTGAAATCAAGTTATACAATCAAATTCCAAATTCAAATTCAATTCGGATTAATATTAGATTTGAATCTCGAATAGCTTAGACTATAATTCTAGTTCACTTTGAGTTGAACTAGAATTCTGTTTATCTTAAATTGAATTTGAATTCAAAATTTTAGGTTGAATTCCCGTGAACTTGATAACCCAACTTAAGTATTACTCAAACTTAAGTCGAGTGGGATTTTTTTTGCACCTATTTTAACCAAAGCACTAAAAACTGTACAAAAATGCTTGCTATTTTGTTTTAAACTTGAGCTCAAACTTGATTCAGTTTAACCTGCCCAAGCTGCATCCTGAGAATTGGTTGTTAATATGTTTTTGTCTGTCCTAACAGACAGAGAGCTTAGGTGGAAATGCTTGGTCTCAAAGTACAACAAAACCAGCTTCTATTTTCCATACTATTTTCCTCCATTGAGTGACTTGGAAGTATAGTACTATTCCTACACGATAGGTTTAATGTAATATTGTTTATTGCTTGAATCAACACTATATAACTGGTCCTTCAATAAAACTTTCATCATCCATCTCTATCTCTATACAACTTTCAATTCATTTCTTGTTTTACAACACCAATGGCTTCTTTTTCATTCAGAATGAATTCCCACACAATTATCTTTCTTATAATTGCGCTTCCAAGGTCAATGGCAATACTCGATGCTCATTACTATGATCAAACATGTCCACAAGCTGAAAATATAATCTTAGAAACACTTCGAAATGCTTCGTTATATGACCCCAAGGTTCCAGCTCGTATCCTCAGAATGTTCTTCCATGACTGTTTCATAAGGGTATGATCTCTCTCTCTCTCTCTCTCTCTCTCTCTGTGGGAATATGAATTGTTTAACTATTAATTATACAGGGATGTGATGCGTCGGTATTACTGGACTCAACTCCAAGAAACAAAGCAGAGAAAGATGGTCCTCCTAATATCTCACTCCGATCATTCTACGTGATTGACGATGCCAAAGCAAAACTAGAAATGGCATGCCCACGTACAGTTTCATGTGCTGATATCATCGCAATTGCCGCAAGAGATGTAGTAACCATGGTAATACCAATACCTTGATGAAACAACATATACATCCTGGTTGAGTTACATCATATTACCATCAATCACATTAAAAAAAAATCCGACATGTTTAGTCTTAATGGATGCGAGTTTAGTCTTAACTGAGTTGATATGAAGGCCAATTGAATACAATTCAAACCTAACTAAACATTATCTATTCACAATGTTAATTATGAGTTGAACACATGTTAACATGACACGATTTACACAACTTAAAAACACGACTAGACCCTTGAAGGTTCCCAATGGTTATTGAAAGGCATATCCCCTTCACCTTCTATTGAACATTATCTCACTCTTGTTATAATTTTTCCAGCCTGGAGGTCTATATTGGAATGTACTCAAAGGAAGGAAAGATGGAAGGGTATCAAAAGCCAATGAAACCATTAACTTACCAGCTCCATCCTTCAATGTAACTCAACTTATTCAAAGCTTCGCCAAGAGAGGTCTAGGAGTTAAAGATTTGGTTGCTCTTTCGGGTGGCCACGCTATAGGGTTTTCCCATTGTTCTTCTTTCGAAGCCCGACTACACAATTTCAGTTCAGCCCATGATATTGATCCGACCATGGACAGTGAATTTGCGCTAAACCTGAGGAAGAAATGCCCGAAACCGAACAAGGATCGCAATGCAGGAGAGTTTTTAGACTCAACTTCATCAAGTTTTGATAATAACTATTACAAAAGAGTCATGGCAGGTAAAGGTGTGTTGGGATCAGACCAAGCATTGTATGGTGATTACAGGACCAGATGGATTGTTGAGGCATTTGCCAAAGATGGAGGTTTGTTTTTCAGAGAGTTTGCAGCTTCAATGGTGAAACTTGGAAATGTAGGTGTTATTGAAGATGGTGAAGTGAGGGTCAAATGCCGAGTTGTAAATTGAGAGAGAGAGAGAGAGAGAGAGAGAGAGTGTTTTGTCTGTTGACATAGGTCAAAATGTCTTTTGAAGTGGAAGGGAATAAGTTGTAAGTCACGTTGATAATAATACAAACCCCAATTGTGTTCATTATATAACTTATTGGGCTGCAACTGTCCATGCATAAAATTTGCAATCAACTTGATGTAATGCTAGAGTGATCCTCTTCACATAGCTTAGGTAAGAATAAAAGCTATTCATTTCTTGACACAAGAATCGCACAAGTCGAATATTTTTGACAAAAAATGAGATGGAGAGACAAAACTATCTCATACAAATGTGTATGTTCTCGAAATTATTTAACCTGAATAAGCCATTATTATGTAGCAAATCTAATAGGGTTTGACTTCTCTCCAATTCTCAACCCAAGTTTAGCAATTGTCAGAATAATATTGCTAGTCGTTATTAAGAGACCACTTCGGTGAGTTGTTATGATTCTATTTTTTTTTCTCAACGGTTATAGGTGTCTGAGTCAGCTGATGTGCACTTTGATTTGTTCCCTTGCTAATTCGATCAAAGAAAGATTATTCATGTTGAAATTAGGATATTTGTGAGAAATAAATCTTTCATAATCTAGTTCTATAGTTGTTAAAATTTGAATTTGAGATGTCTAAATTTATGACTTGCCCGTGTTACTGTTACTGGTCGAGCTACTATTAGGGTTGATTTGCTATGATTCTATTATTAAGACTAAAAGCATCGCCAGCAGTTGGGAACAAAAAATTGAAAAAAGAAACGGAATTTGGAGTTTAGACCTTAATATTATGCGTAGACGGGCTTTTCAAACCCATATTAATACCACTGGGCCACGTGGGCCAGAAGTGCCAAACCGCTACTTCAACTCTCATGTCCGTCTAGTATATAAGGCCGCAGAGATTGTCCCTATATATCATCAACTATATATAAAAATTAGGATAATTCGTACCTGAAGACAAAATAATATGAATAACTTTGAACAAAATATTGGTGGCCGTTAGATGAGTCTATTTAAAACCGTTGGATGAACTTATTAAAATCTATCTTGTTTTATATTATAAATGATATTTGGTAAAGGTAATTCTATAGTATCGAAAAAAAAATTGATACTATGCTAAAAGTTACACTCTTTAAAAGTGAAGTTATAATTACTTGAAGTACTTTCATGATCGATCATGAATATCCCTTGATCAATTAGAACTTCATTTTTAAAATGTGTAGATTGATCTAATTACTTTTAAAAGTTCTAACTTACATTACTTTTTTAAGTTGTAGTTTCTATTTCGACTTCGATTTTGGTATCGTAATCTTCCTTTCCTGCGACGATAAAATTTATGCAAAATAAGCGTTCAAAAAATTGTTAAAGAACATGATACTGATATCCTAGCGACTCTCACATGGCCATGGCCCATGTGGTTGTTTGCACTATATACCTGGAAGGGAGAGGGGTGGGGGGGCTTGTTTTGCTTGATATTCTTAGAAAAAACCGAACAGCAAAGGTGCAAATGAAATGACATGTCATGGGACACTGGCAACACCAGCATTCCATCACTTCCATCTAGAATCAGCTTTTTACATAAAAAAGGCATTTGGGTAAACAAAACGCTTATTATTGGAAGATTTAGAAAGAATCAAATGTGTGAAACCTCGTATTTTTTACAAATATAATATTTTTTTAGCTTAAACCCGTAACATTCAACTTATAATGAACCAACTTTATTAATACACTGGGATAATTTGTACTTGAAGAACGATGTAATGTAAATAGTTTTGAGAGAGATGTTTGTGACCGTTTGATGAATCTATTTAAGACTGTCGAATAAGTTTATTGAAATCTGCTCTATTTTATATTATAGATGACCAAGATCCACCGTCAAAATTAGGTTCAATAAAACTTTTAAAATATAATGTTGAAGCTACACTCATTAATTTTTCACCTAAATTTTATAATCGACTCTGCAATCTGCACCACTTGTTTTGATTAAACAAATTAATTTCAAAATTAAATTTTATATGGACATAAAATATTAAATCTGAGAAATACTCAGCGTATTGACATCTAACTACACATGGTAAAATTTGAAGAAAGTCGGAAGATGATCAGGTACATTCATATTTTAAAAATACATAAATAATTATTTAGAAATTATCGATCAATAACCGTCGACAAGAATAAAATCGTCAAAGACAATGACTATAAAAAGACAAATAATGGTGAAGATGAAGGATACATGTAAACCCTCAAAGACCCATAATTTGAGTATTATTAGGAGTAATTTTAAATTAGTTTTAGAAAATAATTAATTATATAATCAATGTTGTCTATTAAGTCTTTTTTGTAATCAAAATACTTTTAATTGAATTAATGAAAAAATTATTATTTTATTTGTGTCATGCACTTTGTCAATTGAGATATATGGTCCATTCCAATAGATTTAGAGCAACAAATTCAAATTTGTTTTTGTTTCAAGATCAAAGTCGGGCTTTTATACTCGTATTTAATGTGTAATATTAGAATTTAAATGTATAAATATAATTGAGCCGAATTAATATATTATTAACGGACTTTAAAATTGAATTAATATTTAATTAAAAAAATATATGAAGGGTTGGTTGATGATAATAAATAATAAAAGACAAAAAAGTATGAGCTGTCGCGCCAAAACAAGAAGACCCACGTGATAAGGTCTCTTCCTCCGGGTTGGTCGAAGTGACTACTGATTGTTGGGACTATTACACAACATGAGTTGTCACCATCTGATTGGTTTATCGATCATTTCATCGTACGAATGATGTTGACGTTTTCAACGTTATACTCACGACTACCCAAAACCCTTTTTTTTTTAATACTAAATAAATGCGAGCAGCTATTATTAAATTTTCCTTTTGTGTTACTTTTGATTTTGTTCCCTTTACAAACACACCCAAAAAATTTCTATATTTGTATCTCCTTTTTTTTTTTTCCCTTTTATTGCTCTATTTTTATCTTTGTTCGCTCTTTTGCAGCTTTACCAAAACTAGATAGCATTAAGGTTTCCTTTTTTCTTTTTTTTTTTCATTTTTAGTTAATTACACTTAAACCCATCTAAGATTTGTTATTTAATTAGATAATTCTTTTTTTGGTTGAAAAATAATACTGCAATCCTCTCATGTTTGTAACTCACTGAGTAATTGCCCAAAACCATTATACTACGTACGTAGAAACACCCACCGACTAAAAGATGATTTGAACATTTTCCAGTGATATGTTATACAAATTGTGCATGTAGACCCTGAGCAAACTCTTTATAATTTGGAAAATGACATTACCAATTAAAATGTTCAAAAATGACTTTGTCATTAAAATGAAATTTTAACCAAAAAAATAAAAAAAATCTAACTTATCGAACTCATTTTTACAAGGACTAACAACCGATATTATTTCTCTCCATCTCTTTGTCTTTTTCCTATCTTTTCTTTTAATATATACGTCGCCTCCTCTACTTTTCTATATCTCCTTCTTCTTCACACACATTGCATAACAAAAGATTATATATATGTGTCATCACTTCAAATCTCAACTGCATTATAACTGTCGCCACCCTTACTATTACCCTTACCACTTTTCCAATATTGATTGTCAAGTCCATAATCGACTTGAGAATTTGTTGATTCTCTTTAATTTCTGTAAATATTAAAAAATTATTAAATAGAGGCATCAAATCCAAACACAAGGGCTTGACCATCCAATAACCCAACTTCGACCACTCAAATATTACCGTCAAAACACATATACACGCCCACATAAGTATAAAATTATTCACCCATATCCTGATATACCATCAAATAAATATAAAATCACTCACTCATATCCTGATATACCATCATTGTTGACCTATCATTACCACACACCCAATCATCATCATCACTATTGCTGGACACAAACCTAACGCCTATACGGCAACACAAACATCCAACATGAACAAATACAAAAGAGATATACATTGTATTAATTATAGAGAGTGGTGATTTGGGTTGTTAATTGGCATGACATGGAAAAGGTCAAAGAGAGGCTAGCTTTTCGTTTGGGTTTTGTTGGACATGATGAGAGACTTGGCAAACGTGATTTCTAAATTAGAGTTCGGAAGAGTACTTGACAAGTATTGATTATGGTAGTGATAGAATTGATTCGACTAGAATGGTTTTGTTATGCAAGAAAATGGTGGGGGCTACTAGTATAAGTAGTACTAGTAGAGTTGGATTGTCCTGATTTTAAGCTTTGATGTATGCAATGTAATATCTACGCATAAAATATAAATAAACCTACACAAACAATATTTTAAAGGGTGATATGTCCTTCTCAGTACTTTTTTTTTTTTTTTCAAACCATCATTGCTTGGAAGTGCTAGTTTCATTTTTCCTATGAGAAGGCGTCCATATGAAGAAAGGCCAAACCTTAGTAGGGGTTTAACTTACCGGGAAAAACCTTTGGGGCTCATGTGTAATTAATCAGTTTTTTTTTATTATTCAGGGTTTAGTTTCTTGTTCTTTGCCTTTTTTGTGGTTCAGACTTGACAGTAAAAGGCAAAGATTCGCAGATAGATAGATGATGAATAAGGAAATATAGGGTTCTGTGGCTTGTAAATAAAGAGATTGATATATCAACAATCATCAGATCCTTTCTGTCTTTTTTCTGCCTATATAATTCTGGGTATTGGGTTAGTGTTTATGGAAAATTTTTGTAGTTTCAGCAGTGTTGCTCATGTAAATCCTTTCTCCAAGATCTTCACTCCTATGTTCTTCAAAAACTTTGATACCTTCATGTCATTTTCAGCTCTGGATCTTTGTGGAGTTTCTGGGCTGTGAATGCAATTTCTTTTTCATTTTCTTTGTTTTTCTGATGGGCGAATGCTATTCTGCACACCTTAGTGTCTCTGGTCAACAAATTTTCCTAGGGCTTCCTTGGTTGTGACTGCTCTTGTCAACATAATTTTAGCCGCCTGTGTTTTTGGTATGTAAATTTTCTACGG